GCTAAGAGATTTCACCAATTCACCTGCACCAGATGAGGTGCTCTCACTTTTTTAAAGAAGCATGAATACCTCTGTGCTTTGCGTGTTGACATGCTGTAGCAGAGAGAGGCAGGAATAATTAGAAGCTACTTGCAGGTTTCCAGGTAGTCTCAAGTCAACTCTTTGTGAAGGTTTATGAATTAGAAGCATCGAACAAAATATAACCATGACATGCCATCTAGATGTGGTCCTAAATCAAGTGGATGTATCTGGTGTCCAACAGGCTGCTACTTGGGAGACATAAGAAAAGTTGTTGCAAATCTAAGGTGTGAGGACTGCTGAGATTTGCTCTTGAAGACACTTGTCTCCCATGAGCACTGCCTGGAGCTTTTAGTTGGAGTCTCCAAGAGGACACACAGGGTGTCAGCTGGAGAAAAATGAAATTTACTTGTCAAAAGTCTGCTTTGCATCCCATAGGTGGGAAAAAAAGCACACTCGTTTTTCAAGTAGAATATGAGTCTCATGTAGCAAAAGTATTTGTGATTAGTCAGGAAAAAAATTAAATTTTACATGTGAAGGAAGAACCCACATGAATGGAATAGTAATTGAATATCAGTTGCAAATCAGAGATACTGTATGTGGGTGGGACTTTTTACAAAAGCCGTAAGTCCATGGAATATGGAAAAGGAGGTTAAAATTGTCAGCAAATCAGGAACTGTAGCATGATTCCAAAACTCCCTGTAAAAGAACGTTCCTACCATTCAAATATCTGCTTATACTTGTCAATGACTTTTAATATGTTCCTGTCTCCTTGGGGATAGGTGACAGCATCTTATGCACCCATATTATATAAACACAGTCCTACTACATATGTCATAGCACTGGGAATTATATTTTGTGTATTCTGGTTGGTAAAAATTACTTGTTTTGAGATCACATTTTCAAAATGCTTGCTAATGAAATTAGTGTAGATGGGTGGGTACATACACTATTGAAATTAGAATATAAAGCAAGTTTACTTATTTACTTAATTCATACAAGTACTATAAACAGAAGACGCATATTCCATACATATCAAGCATAATCAATCACGTGGAGCAATGAAGTTAAAATTAAGATACTCTGTGTAGATGGATTCTAGGCCACCCTACAGAACTGCCACCCTATGAGACCCTGACTCTACCAACCTAGCCTTATAAATGGTAGTTTTAGTCCAAGTAATTAAATTCTAGCAAAAACACATGACTTGTGGACATATATTGTTGTTTCTGGATTTATTTCTTTATCTGGATTATATCATAGGATATTTGTTTTTTCAAGAATCTTATTTAGGGCAACTTTAACATTTTTATTCTGCAGGTAGTAGCTCGGGGGATTCAGCATGGGGACAATAATGGTGCAAAACCCAGAGGATTCTCTCCCTTGGTCCACAGAGCTGAATGACAAGGACTACAGGAATGTGAATGCGACAGAACCAATGTAGAGAGAACCTGCAGATAAGCGAGGGCTTCAAGGACTGATGGCTCTGGACCTGCCTGCAGCGGGGCAAATGTGGAAGCTTCTGGCTGTGGTGTAAATGTAGGAGCTAAGCACAGTCAGAGTTGCAAGAGGAATACTAAATGCATTGAAGCACAGAACCACGGTCTTATTGTAGTTCTGGAACAGGAGAGCTCAAGTAGTAGGAAATGGTCACAGACGAAATGGTTTATTACATTTGCCTTGCAGAACAGCAGTCTCAGCATGCAGCATGTGTGAGCTGCGGCACCAACCAAGCCCACACTGTACATACCAGCTACCATCCAGCAGCAGACTTGAGAACACATGGTGACATGGTAAAGCAAGGGCTGCTGATGGCACCATAGAACTCATAGGCCATTGCAGCCAACATGTGACACTGTGAGAGAGCAAAACCTGAGAAGTATAGTTGAGTCACACACTCTGAATAGGAGATGACATTTTTCTCCACAAAAAAATTACCCAGCATTTTGCAGTAATGACACTGGAATGGCAGAGGCCAGTGCAGGACACATTTGCTGAGGAGATAGTACACGGGAGTGTGCAGGGAAAAACTGAGTCTGATCAGTGTGACCATGCCCACAGTGATCTCAACTCCCTTTGGGACAAAATATGCTTTTTTGTTTGTTTGCTTGTTAAGGTAGCATCTACAATACACACACACACACACACACACACACACACACACACACTCATTGTCACACATTATGGTGAAAGACAAAAGATTTTCTCCTACAGTACTAAATAATAAAGTTTTTCCCCCTTTATTTTCATTCCACAGTGTATCAGGAGACCTGTATAGAAAAATCATTCAAGAAAACTAAAGGTGTCCACATTGGAAAGCAAGAATTCATTATTTATCTTTTCTATTTAAATGACATAATTTTATATAGAAGAAATCTGACAGAATCTGTGCCAAAAGACTAGTGGAACTTAAATTAAGTGCTATGATAAAATCTAAGGTGGAAAATAAAATCCTTTGTATTTTATATACTTATTATGAATAATTTAAAAATCCATTACAAATAGCATGAACTGGTGAGATATTTTGGAATAAATTTAAAATGGAAATGAAAGTTGTCACACAGATAATTACAAAACATTTTGAACAGTGTTAAAGTCTTTCACACATGGAAAGGTATCCCTTCACACATCAAAAGAATCAACAGGTAAAATGCAAACATTTTCCAAATTAACTAAAAATTCTCCATAATATCTATCAACACCCCCACTCTGGTATATGTATATTTGAAAGGATGGTCATAAAATCTATATTAAAATACAAGGATCCTAAAATGATCAAAGCAATCTTGTAAAACCAATATCAAGCATGAGGTCTTATCTATATATTTACTATAAATTTAGCATGAACAAAACAGCATGAGATCATCATAAGGTTACACATACTGATCAGTGGAGTAGAGGTGACTGCTAGGAAATAACTCAGATCAATGTCAAATTCAATTGTTATAGGTATTTAATGATAATTTAATGAGAATGATAATTTTCTCCACAAATGGTGCTGAGATGAGATGGAAAACTAAGTAAGTATAGGTGTAGGAATACATTTAGAACTCTTTCTTACACCATTCCCAGTAATTTATTCAAAATGGGTCATATAATTAAAACAAAGATTTAACACATTGAAATCATCAGAAAAAAAACTGTAAAACTCAGTATGTGTACCCTTGAATGTAATAGCACTTTCTTAGATGAAATACCCAAAGAAGCCAAAATTAGAAAAAAAAAAAAAATAGTAAACTGCATCTTGAAAAAATTTTAATTCATGATACTCCTGTTGTTCTATTGTCTCATATTAGCTTTTCCCACAAAATCCTATGTACTGAAATATTTCTAGTTAAGATTTCTGATGGAGGGATTTAGTTATCAGGAACATTTTCTGTCTGCACACAACACGTTCCTTATGATCACATGTGGCACACAGCTAGATTGGTGTGATGTGTGTCACTTACTAGCTTTTCTCCCACTCTGATTTGTGAACTCAAAGCAGTGCTGGCACAGCGTTCCGCACAGTACAGGTCTCAACAATGCATTTGACAAAATTATTGGAAGAAACTTAGAGATAAGTTAATACAGATTCAAAGTGGCTGATTAAAGCCCTTACTACCTTGGTAAACTTTAAAAAAAGAGAATTTTTTGCTATAATTCCATGCTGTAGAAGACTGAGCATGATAATGGAATCTATCCTTCTCAAGATGTGTGGTGCTCAGAATGAGGACCTGGCGGGACTGGTCAGTTGCTATCTGCATCTCTGCTAACACTGTGAATGAAATGCGGGAAGAGAATCTGGAATTTTAAAAGTCAAAGTGGGATCCAGACATACTGTTTACGATTCCCAGAGAGTTCAGCATTTTAGACTTTTCTTCATTGATCTGAAAGGAAAAATAATTTTGATAATGTTAGGTGATGAGAACCCACAAGTATCTTTTCAGTCACTAATCCTGACATCATTTGTCTGATCTTTCTACAGCTAGCAGCTTTCTTGAGAATAAATTAATTCAAAATCTGGGGATATTTTTCTAGGTCCTGTGTTCTGCTCCATTGTTCTACAGGCATAATTTTGTGCTAATACCTGAGGTTTTAGTTACTGTGGTTTGGTTGAATGTGTTGATATCTGACACTCAGAGGCTTCCAGCATTGTTCATCTTGGAAAACAGAAGTGATAGCATCATTCCACAGATAGAGAGGAAATAGTGACATCTAGATGTAATTAAATGTTTACCTAATACAGCCCCAGGTCTTTATTCTAGTTAGAGTCTGAAGATATACTGGAATTCCTATGTCGGTGGGAAATGTATTATGTGTCATAAGACCACATATTACCTAATACTGCTTTACACATTCAGTGAGAGGTTATATTTTATATATTCAAAAGGGAAAGATTATTTCTTTTACAAATTACTACTTCAGAAATTTTAGGAAATATGCTTGTATAAAACCTAGCACCATAAAAATAGACAAGATAAGATGATATGGAAAGATATTTATTTAATAAGTAAAGATAATGTATTGCATTAAAAGAGGCATGTTAAAGAAATATAAGACATAAACAGTTATGTGGAGGAATTTAAAGGACTTAAGGTTGTGTAGCTAGATATTAATAAATAAAAATAAACAGAAAAGATATATACAAACATAGAAATTGCTATATATGCCATTTTTAAATATATGTCCCAAATCATGATGGTTATATTATTGTAATGGATTATAATTATTTTAAATCATGCAAGAAATAAAAAAAATAAAAAATACCAGTAGAGGTAATTTAAATAATTTTGGATAAAAAATTGTGGAACATCTCACAACTGTGCTTTCCACATGTGCATAAGCTTCTCTATCCAGTCTTACATATTTGTACCATCACACGTTTTGCACAAGTGAGTAACAGAAGGAAACTCATGACGTGGACATACAGTGTCACCTCTCCTTGTTTCCTAACGAAAATTTCAGAAAATATGAATTTTTACCAAAGCTAAAATTGTTTTTCACAACTTGATTTTTACAAAGAATTTCTTTAAGGCACCTTTTACATCCTTATTCCTCAGGCTATAGATCAGTGGGTTCAGCATAGGCAGGAGAGTAGCATAAAACACCGAGGACAGCTTTGCTTGGTCCATGGAGCTGACTGATGAGGGCTGCAGGTACATGAATGCAGCAGAACCAAAGAACACAGCTACTGCTGAGATGTGAGAGCTGCAGGTGCTGAAGGCTTTGGACCTGCCTGAGGTGGAGCGAATGCGGAGGATGCTGGCTATGATGAAGATGTAGGAGGAAAGTATAACCAGTGTTGGGAGAAAAATATTAAAAGCACTTAAGCACAGAAGCACTACCTCATTAAGAAAAGTACTAGAGCAGGAGAGCTCCAGGAGAGGCAGAAGGTCACAGAAAAAATGGTTAATTACATCAGACTTGCAGAACAGCAGTCTCAACATGCAAACTGTGTGAGCCATCGCTCCAACCAAACCCATGCTGTACACACCAGCTACCATCCAGCAGCAGACTTGAGGAGACATGGTGACATGGTAAAGCAAGGGGCTACAGATGGCAACGTAGCGGTCATATGCCATTGCAGCCAACATGTGACACTCTGAGATTGCAAACACAAGAAAGAAGTAGAGTTGTGCCATGCACTCAGGGTAGGAGATGATGTTCTTCTCTGCCACAAAGTTGACCAGCATTTTAGGGGTAATGACAGTGGAATGGCAGAGGTCAATGAAGGACAGACTGCTGAGGAGATAGTACATTGGGGTGTGCAGGAGAGAACTGAACCCAATCAGGGTGATCATGCCCAGGTTCCCCACCACTGTGATCACATAGATACCTAAGAAGAGAAGGAAGAGGAAAACCTGGAGCTCTGGTCTTTCTGTTAACCCAGAAAGAATAAACTGAGTCACTATAGAATGATTTCTTTCTGCCATTTCCTTGTGGAATTTCTATGAAGGAAAAGAAGACAGTTTTGTTAAGGGTATTTTCTGTTCCAACAATGAAGTAGCAAACAAAATTCTAGCTTTTTCACACTTCTGTATTTTTTCCGTCCAGCTCTCCATTTATGTTATTTCAATGAACTTGACGTCCCAAATGCATGAGACTTACAAAACACCTTTCTGTTTTCTGGTGTGCTGTAAGTGTGGTAATTAGTATTATTCAGTTCATGAACATCCAAAAAAAATTCTCATCTTTTATTTTGTGTTTCAATGTGCTATAACCAATTGATGATCATTCTTTTATATTAAATTTTCCTGACATAATAAAATTGATATAATAAAATTATATCTTAATATGACATAATTTTATTATCATGTATAATAAAATATATTATCATGATATAATAAAATTATATCATAATATGACATGATAATTTTATTATGTCATATTATGATATAATTTTATTATATCAATTTTATCATAATATGACATAATAAAATTGAGTAAAAGTTACATATAATTATACAAAGAGATTCAGTATGCTTACAGAATCAGTAGCAGAAGGGCACAAAATTACATTCTTCCCATTGGAGAGACTGATGTTCTAGTAGAACCCAAATGTTGTAGTCCAGGAAGCTCCCTGGAGTCATCTGTGAGAACCACTGTTGGAAGGCTGAAGAAAGGAGACAAAGGTCAAGAGGCAGCACCAAAGGTTAGAGTGCTTCCAAAAAAGGAGGGGGGCGGCTCTTTTCATTTTCTTTCTGTCCAGCATGCAAAACTAAGTTTCAGTACCACCTGCAGGATAGGTGTGTCTTTCCCACTCAGTTTTCTGGCCTACATGTTAAGGGTTGATAGACACAACTTAGACCTTTTTAATCTGCTGGGAGTTTCACACTAAAGTTAACATATCACAATTACAATTGCCCCCTCAAAACATGCACAAAAGTTTTAAAATAAAATAGCAGCAGCATCCAAAACTTCCCATAGTCATTACCACAGTGATGGTAAGTTAAACATTTTCCACAATGATACTGAATAACACAAGATATAAACTTCCTGACTTCCATTCGATAGTAGATAGAGGGGCTGGCTAAGTCTGTCAGGCATCAAAATGTAATGAAAAGAAAACATATTGGAAAGCTATAGCTAATTATTTTCATTTATTGATGAATGAGATTTTCTTATGTAGTCAAAGTCTGAAAGTATCTATGAGGACTACTTAAGATAACCTTAAGCATATGGTAGAATTGAAGATCAGCACATAAGCACAACTTTATTTCTATACATTTGTAGAAAAATGTACATAATAGCTTGAGGACTTACATATCTAGTAGAACTGAAAGCTGAAACTCCAAACAAAATTCCTTTGTATTTTACCTCACCTACTGACCCCTGCTAACTAGTATTCTGTTCTTTGCTTCTATCACATGTGACCCAAGTAACTAGGATAAAACCAGCATTTCGTTTTTGTGACTGGCTCCTTTCATTTATGATAGTACCCACTGGGCACCTGCATCTTGTTTCAAACAAAAGTTTTCCCTTGAGGAAAATAATCTCTTTCAATTCTTATCTAAAAATGATGATTTAGCATCTTCACAGGTGTGATCAAGCAGACCTGGAATTTTCAATACAGTAAATTTTTCACAGATCGATAGAATAAAAACATAGGATGATAAGTTTTCCAGATTCAGTAAAATATTTGTTAAACCTTTTGTAGTCTTGGAGAAGTGGCAGAGTTAGGTGCTGTAAATACAGAATAGAATGAAATGGTAAGAAACTGTTAAAATGGAAATAAGAATCGGGATGGCAAAATGTGGAAAGGACGAAAGGGAAAAAGAGAAAATTAGCTGTACTGTTAGTGTCTCTTAGTTCACCTAAAAGGAGCTTTACACTAATATTAATTGGAGAAATTTTTATTCCCATATTGTGTACTCCAAGTAACTATTTAAATATGCTAATATATGATGTATTAAATAGTTTTTAAAATATTATTTTGTCCTATCATATGTTATCAATTCTTTGTTTTTTATACAAAATTAAATAAAAAGAATAGAAAAGCACATTTTGCATTCATGGGAACCCAGGGGACATATAAAATCGACAAGAAAGTCAAATTTCTCCATTTTTTATTCCAGAAGATTTTATGCCTCCTTTTTGTCTTGAAACAGCATTATATTGGTAATGTACATGAATCTTTACAGGCACAAATAAAATTTATAGAAAATAATAGTGAATGTTATATGTTGAAAATGTCCCAAGAAAGTATTTTAGCCTGTGAAAGGGAATGAATTAAAATTTTAAAATTATATTTGAAAAATTATTGTAGGCATTCAGAATAGAGATACCATATATATAGATTCCTTGATCTACACAGTATTGCAATTGAGAAGTTGCCAAGGAGGCAGACTAGATAGGGGAATACATGTCTTTTCAGGAAATGATCGATGAGAACATAGCTATTATGGTGTAAATGCTGAGTAAACCACAGTTAAAGTTTTTGAAGAGAAAAAAATTGAAGTTTTTCCTTTTAATAATTATCACAGGATTCAATCATTGCCCCAAAGGACCTCTGGTACACCCTTACCTTTAATTCATAATGTTTCTTCAGTTCATGTTTTCTTTCTTCTTTACCCCATGAAATCTCACTTAAAAGTTAAGATCCGTCAGTTAAGATCTTTCAAAGTGACATCATACTGAAAAATAACATTTTCTATCTGCCCATGAACACTTTGATATGCTCCTATGTGACACCTACTTCATTTAGAAATATTTTGAGTATTTTAATACCTTTGCTTCCACATTAATTATAAACTCATTATAATCCAGGGCAGTGTCTGCCATTGTAAGACTCAAGACAAATATGTAATATAAAATTGTTTATAGAAGTTTAGAAATAAATTAACATTTATTTCTCAAACCAACTGAACAAAGCCTCTATACAACCTGAATTGAAAAGAGTAAAAAAAAAATGTCCACTACAATTTTATATTTCATGGGCAAACAGGCAATAAGGGAATCTTTGCTCACCAGGAAGTGCATCTCTTTGATTGAGTATGGGTTGAGACAGAAAATATTCCTGTGCGTCTTTATTAGCACTGGAGGTGAACTGCAGATAGATTTTTAGGTTTAAAAAGTTATGGTCTGGAACTCAGAGACAGCCTCCTTCTTCAAAGAGAATTCAGATGGGATATTTTTCATCTCCACTGTTTTGCCCTGAAAAACAGAGATGTTAAGAAGAGACAGAGCAAGGTTATCCTGTGAGTCACTAACCCAGTTCTCTGACTCAGCAGATCCCCAAAGCGGGGTGGTCATCTATAAAGCTTTGTTATTAGGTGGTTTTATACGCTAAGTATAGAAGATAAGTCTGATTAGGTGTAAACAATTTTAATGACATCCCACTAGAATCTTATCCCTTATGCATCAACTCTGGGGAAAAATTAACAATTAGGATTTTCCTGTTACCTCATTGGTTCTCAAGTGTTCAACCTATGACACAGCCATAAATGCACATTCTTGCTTCATAACAGATTAAATAGATAATGTGAAAGATATTGTTAGCGCTCTAGTGAGTTTCATGTCAATACATTAAAATGTTCAAAATTTAGAGCACACAATGAGTAAATCATCTAAAGTGACTCATCACAAGGGGAGTAGAAAGTAAAACATGCTAACAATGTCTGTAATATTGGGAAGCTTTTATTTTCACTGACCAGAACTATTTCTCTTAACATAATGACATAATAACAAACAGTCCTTTTGGAATATCTTATCTTAGAGACTGAATCAAAATAGCTTTTATTCATTTCACAAGGTAAAATATTTTAGATACTACTAAAAACCCCTAACGAGTTCTTATCAAAATTAAGAAAGAGAAATGAGAAATGTTTTGTCTCCTAAAAATAGGAGAAATGATGAAGAAGGATTAATAAAAATATGTTCGATAACATTGTTTGGAGAAGTTTGGGGATAAGCTAACATAGGGAAAAAGTATATAGTATAGAAAGTGATTTCATACTGGACTGCTTCTGAGTGTAATAATATTAAATGTTTTACTGAATATTCATCAAATGTTATATGAAGTTAGATAATCATTGACATAAATTTTCTTATGTAAACTTGCTTTGGAGTATTTTCAATTTAGTTAGCTTAGCAGTTTAATGTATGCTAGAAAGGTGGGGTTATTTTTTTGAAAAAAAAATTTACTTTTGCAAAAATACTTTGTTGATACCATTGGAGCTTTGGGGAGTAAAATCATAGTACCAGAATAATTCATAAGCATAAAAAATTTAGTCATCTGTAATATATTAACCTGAGACACTGAAATACAATGCAATCATGGTATAATCATTGTTTCAAGAATTTAATGGTTTTTAGATTTGTAGTATTCTCAAGCATCCATCAATAATGAGAAATACCCCCTCAAAAAGAAAAAAAAAAAAGAAAAAGAGAAAGAAAAAGACATCCTCAGGAATAGAACATGTTGAACCAGAGGTGTAGCTTTTTAGGAACTGGAATAGTGAAAAATTCTTTGCAATGAACATTTCTGTCTCCTGTTGCAAATGATGTGAATTGTAAAAAGTTTAAACTAGATGCAGGGAAAAAAAGCCATTTCAGAATGAGAGAAAGCATCAGTGAGGGTGTCAATACCTGAGGAAGGACCAGAATTTATTGAACTGAAATAATAACTACCACATTCAGCATGGCATCCACTTATTTAGTGGGTCCTAATGTTTAAAATGATGTTATCTGGCTGCTCCCATGGTGGCTGCTGGGATCCAGGTGAACAGTGTGGGAAGACACAAAGATGAATGGGAGCATCGGCCACACAGTAGGGCCCACAGCCGGGGTGCACAGGATGGACACGTGGGACCTGGCATGAGATGCCAGAAGCACCAGTAGCAATATGAGCCAATAGGAGGTCAGTTAGGTTAACCAGTGTTGTGCTTGGGAACAAAGACACAGAATAGAAGCATGAGGGAGGGACTTACCGATTACT